GAACTACTACAGACAATATTATGTTTTCATTTAGTAAAATTATATTTGTGGCTTATCAGCACGTAATAGCTACTTGTTAAGATCTTTAGCAGTATATTAGCATTTATTTTAAAAGTTCCTTACAGCAACAAAAGAATTATTTTTAGTATATGTATTTTTAATTTATAAAGCACTATTGTGTCGTTCTGTTGTTTCACATCTCTGTGGAGCCCCATGCAGCACAAATCTCAATGTAGCTTCTGAGTCCTGCTGCTTCACTTTTTGTTACACAGTTTTCCTGTGCATACCTGAGGTTGGCTGGCAAACACAGTAAAATGAGAAGGGATTAGCTATTGTACTGTATTTGTTTACTGTTTCCAGAGTAACTTCTTGTTTTTTCAGGTATTAGATAAACTCAATGAGACTTTAACTTTTGTGGATGGTGAGAATCTTAAGGAGAAATTGGTGGAAGTTTATAAAAATGATATAGACAGAGCTTTGGAAAAACTGTCTGACTACCCAACAGGTATTTATTGGGGAAATGCAATGCTGAGTATTAATCCTGAAAATTGCATAGGAGTTAGGTAAATTCAGTAAATCAGGCTATAGCAAGTTTATCTCATGAGCTCTTTCTTTATATCACATAATATTATAATCACATGGATGTCTACTTTACAAAAAAAAATCCAAAGAACTTTGCCTCTTCTTCTTCTTCCCCTCAGAGTCCATACATGATATGAAAAAACCCAGAAAACATTGGCAAGCTGGAGCCCCTCAGACACTACTGAATTTTTTAGCTGGTGCTGATGTCACATCTACATATCCTACTATGGCTGGAAATGAACTTGGTGAGAAAGTTTTGGCTTTCAGTGAACACCTAAAATTCAGACTGAATTCATCCATACCTGAATGTTCACATGATCCAGCAGGCTTTTAATTGCATTTTCCCTCTCACACTGCAGTCATGTTGTGTTGCTCATACGTATCAAGAGCACTGCATTTCATCAGTCCCTCTGTGGCCTGACTCAAAATGCTAATCTAGTCATTAATCATCAGCACTTTCTCAGGCCTTGAGCTGATGCCACACAGGAACAGGGCAGTGAGTGCCAGTGCCATCCCGGAGCGTGGTGGAGTGTGGTGGTGTGTGCAGGGGTCCCAGGATGAGGGAAGAGATGGGAATCTTGACTTCATGTTTCAGAAGGCTGATTTATTATTTTATGATATATATTATATTAAAAGAAAACTACATACTAAAACTCTACTAAAAGAATAAAAGAAAGGATTTCATTAGAAGGCTTGCAAAGAATAGAAAGGAATGAATAATAAAATCTTGTGACTGACCACAGAATCCAAGACAGCTGGACTGTGTTTGGCCAATGATTAAAAACAACCTGAGGACCAATCAAAGATGCACCTGTTGCATTCCACAGCAGCAGATAATTACTGTTTTTCTTTCTCTCTGAGGCTTCTCAGCTTCTCAGGAGAAAAATCCTGGCAAAGGGATTTTTTCAGAAAATACCATGGCGACAGTGGAGTTCTGTTTTCTCTCTGCATACGGTGGTGGTGGCACCACTGTCACAAGTGCCACCTGACCCCGCCTTGGCTGTGGTATGCTCCACTTGAGAAAAGTCCCTGGGCTTCTTACAGTACCACTGAGTACATTGCCAGGCAGACAAGTATCTCCAGTGACTGGTTTCTGCAAACAGGAGCTCTTCCAGCATTCCAGCACACTCCACGCACTGAGATAAAAAATAACCAGAAGAGTTTCCATGGATAGTAAAGACAAAGCAGAATATTATTAATACACCACCTTTTGCTCATGCTGCCTTAGATGAAAGACCGCCAGGCACAAAAGAAACAGGAACTTTTTTAAAGCTCTTTCAAACCAAGAAGACAAGTTTCGGAGCTAGGACTAGGGAAGCTGCACCTGCCTATTCCAGGTTTAATAAGAAGTTACTTATGCTTTAAAACTTGTGTTAAACATTTTTAGTGATGAGTAGTCCAGACCATTTTCCCCTATCCATCAGAGCAAGTACTTATAAAAAAATCAGGAGTATTCCATTGATATTCCAGAATTACACAAAAGGAAGAAATCAGTGTTGAGACTAGAAAGTTTGAATCTGACAAAAGACAGTCCCGAGCTACACTAATGCTTTAGTGACCTGAGAACCTTGCTCTTCTTCAGCTCACCATGTTATTCTGCCTGAAGACATCCCAGAAAATAGGAAGCAGTGGAAACAGACACCACCAGAGACACTCCTGAGCATCTTAGCAAAAGCAGAGCTATCTGATGATTCTTTTATCTGTTTTGAGGAAGACCAAGGTAGGATGTTTTTTCCTGTAAATTCTGCATGTTTTTCTTTAGTGTAATATTTCTTCTACCCCTGGCAGAGGGTCTGTGATGAGAAACAACATTTTGAAGCAGTTGGCAACCTAGAAAAGCAGGGACAGAACCTCTGCTCTGTACCTGAAGCACTGAGAGGCCTCTTCCAGAGCATTGCTCTTTTCAAAAGCAGGGAAAGGGGCAAGCCCTACTCACTGGCTATTACCTTCATATATAATTCTTACCTTTGCTTGGGTAGGCAAAGGAAAGCCACTACTGCCAGCAGGCTGGTAGGTACCACAAACCTGGAGCTAGCACCTGCAACTGCTGAGGTTGAAGAACCCTGTAGAAAGCATTTATTCAAATACATACATGGGGACTTAAATGACAGTGGTGACTTTACAACAGGGTCCATGCTGAGACAGCTGACACTGCAATTGATTCAAACTCACCTACACTGCAGCCCACTTTCCTAAGGTAACAGACTTTTTAAAAATTACATTTACTTTGCATCAACAGAAGTGAGACATTTACATTGTTGTAATTTGAACAACAACAAAACACTTCAAGCATTTATTTATTTGCTATTCCTTTACACATACCTTTATAGTTTTCTACTATACAGCTGAAGGAAAGTTTCTCTTTCTTTACAGAAGGGAGATTAACTATGTTGCCTTCAGAAGAAAACGAGGAAGATGATTCAGAAGCATACTCTGCTGTTGATGTTGATGAAGGTAGACTTGAGCCAAGATCAGATGGTGAAGACACGTAAGTCAAGCACATCAGGAGAAAAATCCAGAACTGGACAGTCTTTTAGGCTGCATTGCCTAAAGTTTTACTGTGTTCTTAAAAATTCATAAATAAAGAAAACCTAGAGAGTCTGCTAATTTAACTTTTAATTCCAGAATTTGTCACAGCCAATGCTGTCATTAAAAATTACTGCAGAAATATTAACATGGCCTTGCAGCTCCTTTCTCTTGCCTTTTAAAAATAGGTAAACAATCTGACAGAGACAATTCACATTGGGTGTGTTACTTGTATATTATTTATAAAGTGTTTAAAAAAAACCTTAGGAGGCCTTGAATGGAGAAAGGTTTGCTATGAAATTATATTTATTTAATTAATATAATTATCTTGTTTTACTGTGCAGAAATTTTGAAGATTCTGAAGATGAACTCAGACATGAGCTGGAGGAATCTCTGGAAAAATTGTCAACTTCTCCAGCAGAAGAGTCTCACATCTTTTCAATAAATAAAGGTGAAACAGATGAAGAGAAGATGAATTTACGTGACAAACTTGGAAAATCTGATGATGATTTAGAAAGTAATCATAGGTAATTTGGTGTTGAATCACATGAAAAAGAAGGCTGTCATTCTTTTTCTTTAAAGGAAAAACAAAGCAGGGTACTTTTCAGATGTGTGAACATTGAAAAATCCTCATCCAGACTGAAATGCTGTTTCATCTATTATTCCTAACTGGACATTATTCTTAACCTGGACATACCTGACAAGCCTTGCTTGAGCAAATTTCTGATTGTGTCCTCTGTTGAACCACTTTTGTATCATGTAAGAGAGTCTCCTAGTTTGTGTATTTTATTGCCCTAGATAAATCAACTCCTTAAGAATCTCTTCCACCTTTTCATAATCAATGTGTACTGCCAGTACAGCTTTGTAATCTACAGTTTCATTACACAGTACTGACCCTATGTAGTAACAGCAGCTGCTCAGGAGTTTTATGTAGTAGCAGTAAAAGGGTTTATGAGTGCCTTGAGAATTGTGCATTCCCCAGTTCCTAATAAAACGTAGGTAGGTAGGTTCTTCCAACTGTATTTTTCCACATAAAAAATTTCATACAACCCAAGTGAATCTTAAATAAAGGGAAAACTAGTCTGTAGTCTGATTTCAGCAGTTATTTTTTCAAAGAATCATTTATTTTGGAAAATATCTTAGAATCCAGCTGTTAACACTGCCAAGTCTACCACTAAACCATGTCCCCATGTACCATATCTTTTACGGACCTCCAAGGATGGTGAGTCCACCCCTTCCCAGGGCAGTGTGTTCCAATGCTTGACAACCTTTTCTATATCTAAATTTTTCCTAATATCCAGTATAAACCTCCCCTGGTGCAACTTGAGGCCATTTTCCATTATCACTTGTTACCTGGGAGAAGAGACTGACCCCACCTGGTTCCACCCCCCTTTCAGGCAGGTGTAGAAAGTGGTAAGGTCCCCCCTGAGCCTCCTTTTCTCCAGGCTAAACACCCCCAGCTCCCTCAGATGCTCCTCACAGGACTTGTGCTCCAGACCCTCTCCTAGCTCCACTGCCCTTCTCTGGACACGATCCAGCACCTCAACACCCTTCCTGAGCTGAGGGGCCCAAAACTCATCACTGGATTTGTGGTGCAGACTCACCAATGCCAAATACAGGCATACTGTAGATTCCGGGGAAAAAAAATTCTGGGTACAAAGGCTAGAAAGGTAGAAAGTCATGGAACAGGTGAAGACTGAAAATATGCAATAAATAAAAGAGGTTCCTGATATATAAAAGAATTTGATGTAGTTCTGTTACCAAAGCTCTATCATCGTTGTGAATCCAGATGGTTTTTAAGTGCACCAAACTCTCACGTAGTTAACATAGAAGCATTTCTTTCCCAGAAAAAGAAAAGTCTCTGTTACAAAAAGCAGACAGCTTGACAGAGAGAAAAACAACCTTTTTATTGAATGGAAGCAAGGGATCATAGCTTAGATATATTTACATGTGCCACACAATCAAATATAAAAAGGTAATTTTACTCCAGTTCATTTTGACTTCTATACACTCATTTAAATAACGGCTCCACAGATAACAGGAATGTGTCTTCAAAGTGCTGGTCAGAAAACCTGTGCACAGAGCGACGAGCGCTTTCTCTGATCTCCAGCCTTTTCTCAGGAGGCAAAGAAAAGATGTAAGCCATTGTCTCAGCATAACTGTCCTCATCTTCTGCCAGGAAGCCTGTGACACGTCCTTCGTGGCGTACCACGATGTCCAGTTTGGGGCCACCAGAATTGTGAGCCAGGATAATTGTGCCAGCTGCCATACATTCAACTACTCCTGTAGACAGACAGAAAATGCTGATATGAGTCTGCACATCATGTGCTTTGACCTTCTGTAAAAGGCAGAAGTTAACACTGGAAAGTTAAACCAACAGTAAAATTCACTACAGACTGCCATTCCAAATCAGCTGGAAAAATACACTGAAAATGGTCCCATAAGAAACACAAATTTAAATTTTTCAGTTCTAAGGACTGAAATGACACTTTCTCTTAAACACGTAAAATTGAAATTAAAAATCAGATATAACTGGTTAATTTGTGGGTCTTGGAACCTACCTGAATTTAAATGTCTGGAAAGATACTGAGAAAAAAGTTGGCTGCACATTTCAATCAGAAAATATTCCAAAGTTCAGTATTTTGCAGATGAACAAATCTTAATAGCTTCTGATAACTCAGCAAAACACTAGTAAAAATTGTTATCTGTATTTTTGATGGAAGAAATTTTAATGAAATGGGAATCAGTAAGCTTTCCTCAGCCAAAAGCTGTGGGATATGAACAAAGTATAATGTACACAGCAACTTCAATTCTCCTCCATGGTTCCAGAACAAACCTCAGAATTGCTGATTCTTCTCAGTTCTGATTTGATTGCTATCAATTCCCTCAGCTCAAACATTGCCTACTATAAATAGTGCTCCGAAGTTTTGGAATATGTTTTTTTACACATAAAAAAGCCTGTTAGATGAAGGTTGAATCCTGCTCAAATTCAAAATCATAGTGTGATTATATCACTTGAAAAAAAATTAACTAAACTGTTTTGTAAGAGAAAGAAAAAAAGAGAATACATAATTTCCAATATTTTGCTGTTGCTTCTGAGACACTTCAGTGTCAATTCTTTTATATCAATTCACACTTCAGTATCAATTTTTTTTTTATATCAAGCTCCTACAGACCATAAAGTACTACTCCTGATACTTAACCTGTTTTCTACCTAAGTCAGAAGACATTAACTTCAGTTTAGTCACATTATAGCAGACTATGGCATCCATGTGCTTGGCTACTAACTCACCTGGTTGCTGTAGATTTATAACAGATGGGCAAGCTGGCACTCTCTTTCAAGGTCAGGACTAATCTAATCTAAATAAACGGAGCCCCAAACCTTAATTCTGGGTCCCAGCTCCTCTCTGACTCCTGCTCCATGCTACACCCACCAATTTAAGGGCTTCATACATTTGTCTCAGCAGAGATGCCTTATGCAATGAGATGACCAAAGGTACCTGGTGGCATCTACATAGGGCTTATTTGTACCAGACAGGATCTGTGGGAGACTCACAGATCCTGTCCTGAAGCAGCAGCTGGAGCCCCATGACATACCTGGGACATTTCAAGTGGCACATGAGGCAGGTGAAACAAACCAAAATCTCTAACATGGATGTCTACACATGAACTGTCTCTAAGCTCCCCTGCAGACAGTGGAGCACAATCAGGGCACAATTTAAGGTGCTGGAAGGGAAGCACCTGCAGCCTCTTGAAGCTCTGGAAGGTTGGCAAACCTAACCCAAGGACAACAGGGTGACCCATGAGCTTGCAGGGTGACAGCTGGAGGTCAGCAGGACATCCTGGGCAGAACAGACAGGACTAGCTCTGTGCTCAGGTGTCCAGAGGATGCACAGAATTAACAGCCTATGACTACAGCACTTCAGCCTGCACTGCAGTAGCATCTAGTGGTGCATCATCTGCACCACATCTGCACTGCTCCTGTAGGCTTTACAGCAGCTATACTGCCTCAAATATAGAGGGAACAGGAGCTGGACACCTGCTTGGTATGCACACCTCTGTGCTTGGACACCTAGGGACAAGTAGCTGAACACCCTCAGGAAAAGTACTGACCTATCCCAAAGTGCTCATTCCACATGGTGTGCAGGCCGATGGTGGCCTCGGCCAGGTGTCTCTTCAGCTCCTCAAAGGGAATGTTAATCCTGAACACCACATCATCACTGACTGCCAGCTCCTCACACAGGCGTTTCAGCTTATTGACACGCTCCTCGTCCTGCTGGTTCCGACAGCCGCCGATTAAGATCAGCTTCAGCGATGGCTGCTGCCCCACTCTCTTCTCTTTCATCAATTTAGCAAAGGCTCTGATTTGCAGAGGGTGATCTTTTTCAGGCCTGAACTGGCTGACAGAAACAATGGAATATTCACTGGTGCTCTTTTCCACTTCCAGTGGAATATCCAGGAAAGCCTGAACATCGCATGGTGGATACACGACACTAGTGCAAGCCCCAACTCTCCAGAGGGACAGGATGTGATTCAGTGTCCAAGAAGAATTCACCATGACCACATCACTGCAGGAACCAACCAACCCGTACATGAAAGCAAAGAAGTAGTAGTAGACAAGTTTAAATTTGCTGAAGAGAGGGCTGCTTGTAATGAAGGCAGCATTGTTAAACCTGGTATCCTGGTTCCTCACGACTGAGAGCATATCCGTGCTGATAGTGGGATAATGCACGTAGCATCCAACGCGGCAGCCTCCCAGGTACTTGAAGAGGGGAATTGTGAAGGCATAACCCATTGAGTCAATATAAATATCAGGAGCACACTTTAGAAGAGCTTCCCAGCCAAGGAACACTGATCCTAAACTTTGTCCCAGCAAAGTGAAGTGAGGATAAAGAGAAGCTTCCACAAGGAAGCGTTTTTCTAGAAATACAAACTTCACAGGATGGATTAATTTAATATTAAATCTTCTGAAAGCGCCTTCTACTATTTCTTCTCCAGTGGCATCTTTATCACCAGTGTAAACAACACACGTTACATTTCTGTACCTGCAAGAACAAAGAAAAAGAATTTCATATATTCCTCTCTTCCTATTCTTCAGCAAGAAACTAAAATACAGTCCACTTAAAAGTACTCAAGAAGAATGTGAGAACAAATGTTTGGTCCAGAAATCACTTTGGCTAAATAATACTTTTCCTTATACTTCCACAGGTTTCTTCTGATCTGCAGAAAAACATATGGCTGAGAACTTGGGGAATATTTTAATTTGAGTAAAACATAAAAGGAGCTCAGTATTATTCTACAGACCTCAGAACTCCTTGCTATACATTAGGACATACCTGTCTAGTGCACAGCATGAGCAAAATGCAAATGATGGCAGATCAATGTATGTGCCCACGTTAAATCCACTCTAGGTATTAACTTGTTTTGCCTCCTGCACCAAGAGGCAAGTATAAAGATGATCAGTTATCTACTGAGGAGTTATGACTGTACAAAGTTCCATACCAGTAGTGGAAAACTGACGAGGAAGAAGAGGTTTTCTCAAGGAAAGAAAGGAAAAAAGTGAGAGGTGCCAAAGCAGGAATATCAAAATCTAAAGGGATGAAGTAAAATGCAAGCACATGAAACTTAGATGTAAAATAAAACGTAAGACCAGCAGATTAATGACACCTACTTCAATATGTAAAATGCCAACATATGCATAAAGAATAGCAACAGAAGCTGAGAATGAAATATGGTGTGTTTGATAAACACATATGCTTACTTTTTCTGGAGCGTTCTTATGGCACACCACAAGACTCTCTCCCCTCCACCTCCTGCATTGCAGTACGGGTGAAAAAAGGCCACCAGCAGCGGCCGCTTCCCATCTCTTCCTGCAGACCTCAACTGTTTCTTCCTTTGTATCCAGAGCCGTACTCCCCACAGCAGTACCACCAAGCAGATGCACAAAATTCCACTTAGAAACAATGCAGGGAGTAACAATGAGCACAGCAATCTGAAACAAGCCAGAAATTTCAAAATCCGTAACTGCTTTAAAGAATTACTGTGTATGGCATTGAGTGACAAGGGCTTGAAAGTAGAGCTACAGGAAGTTTGACAACTTCTTGAGTTCTTCTAATCTCAGAAATCATCACTGTGTATGACTGACAATTACAGAAATGAAATCATTACTCTGCACTATTTATCCGAAGATCTCTTTTTTCCCTGCGGTCACCTTGCAATCATTTATTATTGTTTATTCATGCCCTACATGTGTTATCTATCTCCACGTGCACTTTGTTGAAGTTGCATGCCCTCAGTAACCTGGCAATACTCAACCAGCAGAGCGACTTGCAAATGGATTTTTAGAGTTTTTTCCTCACCCAATCTCCTGTTTGGCTTGCCCTACTGTGAGCTGCTTTGGTGCTGGGTTACTGGGGCCAGGAATCTCCTATTCCATCCTACACTTCCCACTCTCCGGAGGCAGAACAGCGATGCCAGCTGTCCCGAGCAGCCCTGTGCAGTCTCTCTGTGCAGAGAGCTGCTCGTTCTGCTCTCCCAGGGCTGCTCCCTTCGCTCTGTACCGCTTCCCTGACAGCTCAGTAGCGGGAGCTTTCCTGGGACAGCGAGGAGCCTAGCAGGGATACCGCCTGGTTCCTTCCGCGGTGCCGCTAAGCCTTGCGACAAGCAGCGTTTACTCAGCCGCTCCCGTTTACCGAAGGGGCCACCCGCGCCTCACGATCGACACCTAAGGAAACACTTTCATTTTGGGCCGGCAGCGGCGGAAAAGCACA